CCATTGGGCCTCGGCGGTGGCCCCCGACAGGGCCAGAGTCTCGGCAGCCACAGTACTGGCCACTGCACGCTTAAGTCGCTGTGACCGCCAGGCCAGCACACTCACCTTAGCTCGCTTATTCGCTCTGATCGAAGAGTCGGCAGCCATGATGAGCCATGCTCCCTGAGCGCCTCCTCTGCGGGCTGACCCAGGGCCGCCCGCATCACTTGCCGCAACAAAAACGAGTGACAGCGGGTCGAGAGACCAGACGGTGAGCTTTTGCTCAGCAGATCCTCGAAGAAACTTTACCGTTTTGATCAACATAAGAGCGTCGGCAACTGTCGGCTCAGGAAGGGCCGCAGCTAGCAGGGATGCTGGTCCCGCCACGTCTGGGCGAGATTCACGAGCAAGCCACTGAACCTGTGCCACCACCGTACGAAAGGAAGCAATCTCATCACGAGTGAGAGGTGAAGAGGGCGAGCTCCTACGCTCACGATCGAGATGCATCAGCGAAAGCTGTTCACGCACGTATTTTTCCTGATCTATGGTTATTCCATGTGGAAATTGCTTCAATCGTCGCCCGGCGTACTCTGAATCTTCCTGCTTCCACTTGCCAAACTTAAAACGATCACACAAAGCCGTGCGGAGGGAGGACATGGACGCATCCGTGCCGGCCACTATAAGGTCGTCCACTTCAATTAGAACCAGAGACTCGAGCGCACCCGTCGAGGCCCGCTTCAAATACAAACAAGGTTCCAAGAGCGATTTCACGAACCCAAGAGTGCCCAGAAAATCCGTCAAGGTTTGATGCCAGAGCAGCGGGGCGTCATTCAAACCATAAACCGGGGCCACCAACTCGATCAGTTGATCTGGCAACAAATCTAAACCCGAACACGGCTCCACATAAATCGTTCCATTGGGCCTGCACAACCTGTTGCTTTGACAAAACGCGTTCTTAGCATCGGCTACATTTAGAATCCACCCGAGAGACGCTATGATCTGACACACCAAAAGGATCGACTCAGACTGAGGCGTCGGAGCATACACCGCTAGGGTGTCAGCGTCTGGGCCCTGATGGCCATGTACACACCATCGAGACTTGGCCTTAGCAACTGATCCCACGCCTTCGGTCGGTTTGAATCGGCGAACCATTCTCGATGACATGATCCGATCTGGAAACCGTCTCCGATCGCTCCTGGACTCTTCAACCGAGAGCACCCGCGCGGCTCATGACGAGACGATGGCGTCCCACTCGGCCTGGTCAGAGTGGATGAACTGTTCCCTCTCGGCTGGGGTCAGCTTCTTGAGACAAACCTCGGCTCCCCGAGGATTGTCAGGCTTGGCCTCTGCCGTGCCGGAGAAATCAGGCTCAAGCCCGAAAAACGAAAGGAAATCAGGTGACCCAGAAATCTGGGACCAGTCACGCAGCTCGTCCAGCAGCCGCTGGTCTTGAAAATCGTCGGGCTCCGACCAGACCGCATAACTGACGCCATCCCCAGCCCCAGAGTCCTCGGCCCCCTCACTAGCCTGCCTTGGGCCTGTCCCAGGAGACGATTCGAAAGGAGCCGATCGACGAGCCCTAGGCTGGGGCACCGATCGCAAGGCGGGGGCCCGACCGTACACCCGGTTGGCGTAAGGAGCTTCTGGAGGAGGAAGAGCTGGCACCTCAGCAGCCTGATCGGAACCCTCGATCTCCCCTATCATGTGAGCAACGCGCGGAACTCCTGCCGGCAGCTCCTCAGCAGGGGTTCGTTCCAGACGCGGTCGAACTGGACGCTCGGAAGAAGAGTCGTTCGCCTCCGAAGCTGGCCTCGCCTGTCCCCTGGCCTCGTCGAGGTCCGGAGTAAGGTCGAAAGCTCCTGGCTCCGAGGGGGAAGGACCTGGATCCTCACGAGCCTCCGAGACCTCGGTGCTGATGGCCCTCGCCATCGAAGGCTCTGACGGCGGAGACAGAGTAGTTCCCTCATCTTCCCGACGCGGGCCCAGGGGAACCTGATGCGAGATGCCCGGGGCGGTAGCCGGAGCCAACGCCCTGGAGGCAGGAGAAGGGTCGATCCTCTCCTCGGCACCCCTCCTGCCCCAAGCTTCCGGCGGGGGTGGGCCCTCTGAGGCCACGTCCACCGCCCCAATCCTACGCCCTGGGGCCCGGACCTCTTCCCGAAGCTGGTCGAAACGGGCCGTGTCGAGAAGCTCAGCCCCCAGCGATTCCTGGCGAGTCGCTGGTCGGACCTGTTCCTCCGAGCACTTGCACAATTTGGATCGCATAGCTATCCAAATCGTGCTGCCGTTTTGGTAGACAACGACCCCGGGGCCAGTCCACCTGTCCCGCTGCAGACTGTGAGACCTACTCGCCGCTGTCACTCGGCGCCACACGTACACCCACTCGCCTGGCTTGAAAAACTTGTCCGAGTGACCTCTGGCGCGGCTCGCCTCTGGAAGTCGAGACTTGGCGTCCAAGCTAGCCAAAGCCTGGCGAGCGGCGTCTCGGATCTGGTGCCGGCGAGCGAATGCGGCCGCCGCGGAGTCTGGCTGCGTGGTTCCTCCCAAGACGTCCTCCGGCCCGACCAGATCCAACGCGTCATCCGAAAGCAGGGGCCTCGGGACCCGGGGATTGGCTCCCAAAACTAGCTGCGCTGGACTAAACCCCCCACGGTGATAGGAGGCATTCTTGGCCGCCACGGCCTCGCAGAGGAGGGCCTCCACTTCTTCCTTAGTGGTCGGGGAGAGGGAGAGAGCAGCCTTTGACATAACATCCTTGAGGATCCCTCCATGCCTCTCACATTTTCCGTTGTAATGGGGGCTGTTGGCAGGTATCACCTGCTGGAAAATACCCTCATGCTCACAACCCCTGGCAAATTCCCGCTCAAATTCAGCCCCCCCGTCGCACAGAAGGACCTCCGGGAGACCAAACGGCCGAACCCACAACTGGAGAAAACCCCTCCAAGTAGCCAACGCACTATTGTTTGGAAGCAAACAGGCCTGTTGGTAGTTGGTCCCATGGCAAATCACATTCAACGCTGGCGTGCTCACTCCATCCACTTCGACATAAAAGAGATCCACAGCCACCAGCTTGTTAAACTCATACGCGTGAGGAAGATGCGCGCGCCTACGCCAGTGCGGACGAGCGTGAGAAGCGCAGGTGCCACACCGAAAGTCGGACTTCGTCCACTCAATCACCTCAGGCTTCGCACGTGCGACCCTTAAAGTCCCCAGGAAATCCTCGAGCGTGGGGTGGCCCAAATTCACGTGAAGGCGATGCACCTCTCTCTGCAACGCTTGGTCAAGTCCCTTGGGTTGCTTCTCACTGGCCGGAACCCCGATAGGTCCGGGCAGACCCTCTGGGGCCTCCTCCTGGTCGCCTCTTGGTTCCGTGTCTCCCGGAAGACCCCCGAGCTCACCGCCCTCGGGAAGAGCCCCCAGAAGGGGGTGCCCCGGGAAAACTGGAGGAACGTTCCTCTTCATCAGAAGGCGGCTCAGAGGCAACGAACGTCGGCAGCGTCGAAGCGAAGTGATACCACCATGCTGCTGCCTCCACGCCGGACGCCATAGCGAAGACAAGCTCCACCGGGCACTGCTCGGATTTACGTGTCCTGCGCCCCCCTTCCAGATGCAAATGCTCATGATCGCGCGAGCACTGCCGCGCACAAGCACTGAGAAAGTGAGTCGAATTGCTCATCAACTTCGTTCGTTTACGAGATAAGGTCCCGTCTGGAACCACCGAGAGTCCGAACTCGCACTGATCGGTCACTTCGATTCGGACCCCCTCGCAAGCAGCCAGAGCGCGAACCTGCTTCAAGTCCCAAGAGCTGGCTCCCTCCGGGTGTTCCATGGAAAAGAACCTCCCACGCTCAAGCTGATACCGAGCCACACTGACACACAGAGCTATGTACTCGAGGCCTCGCTGCTCCACCTCCACCAGATCTTCGTGCCTCATCGAGCCCCACGAAGAGACCCTGGCTTGACTGAACGCTTTGCACTCTGGAGACATCGCGATGAAGAGCGGTTGGTCTCTCTCTCTATGGCTCTCCAGAGAGCCGCCTGACCCTTGGGGGTCCTCAGGTCCACCCCCGTCAGCAGGTCGAACGAGCTCGAGACGACGTGGCCACGCCGGGCCAGCTCCTTAGATACCCGAGGGGGTGAGAACACTTCTAAGACTAAGGAGCCCGCGCGCGTCCTCTCGGCCTCGATTACCTGCTTGCGCCTAAGTCGTTTGCTAGATCGGAGGCCGCTACCGTCTAAGATCCGGGCCGTCGCGTCCCTCACCTTCTTGGGCACCGTGGCACCCCTCCATTGACTAGGTCCGGCACCATCTAGGGCAGCAGCCGCGAAGCGGTCCTCAATCACGTACCCGACATCCCAACATCTCGTCCGTGAACTCGCCCCCTGCTCTCCTTCCTGACCTGACGCCTCCGGACAAATGCAAGAGCACGATGAGATAGGTGAGGAGAAGATAGGTGGAGGAGAGGAGGAGAGGAGAGAATCTGCGTCCTGCCACACTCGGACATTCGGATGACGAGCAGGGGATGGTTGCTGCTGGGTCCCCAAAGCTCGCTCCTCAGCGGGAACGGGGCACTGCCTTGCGACTGACAGTGCCGATCTAATGTCTGACGTGGTCACCCCCAGCCATGGACAGCTCAAACACACCAGACCTTCGGGGGAGGTAACCTCGATCCAGCGAGCCCTCTCTGGGACCAAGCTAGCAATGCTCGTGCCCCCCCACGCGTCCATGGCCAGCGCGACGAAAAGGGAAGCCCTCTCCTGGCCAGAGAGCGTCTTTGGCCTCCAGCCGAGCCTGTCTTCGAGATCTCCCGATCCGAGAAACGCCTTCCGAGAGCGGTCCCAGATTCCAAGAACCGGATCGTATCCTGAGAGTCCCACCCTAGGCTGAAGCCTGCGATGCCAAACTCCCATATCTCGAAGAAAGACGTTAGTGCCGTCTACCTCCCTACTCTGGGCGCCAGACCTCGCTCTCAGAGAGGCAAGGAGGTCAGGATCCTCGTGGGCCCTCATGCTCGTGCCGCTCAGGCCGGCTCCTGTGATCCCGACGCGCCCGGGGACGACGGCGCCGAAGAGGCCTGCTGCTGCATCTGGGACATCATCATCGCGATCCTCATCATCTCCTCGTCGCTCAGGCCCTGGCGCGGCTGGCGCATCACCTCGGATACCCTCTGGTGCACCCTCTCGTTCTGCACGCGCTGCTGCTCAATCACCACCGTCATGTCCGCGAGGGCCCGCATCATCTCGGCAGTCGTCATCGGCCTTGTCCCCGGCGGTGCCTTGGCCGGCACGCTCTGCGCCTTCGCCGGAAGGGGGTGCTTCGCGGGAACGTAGCCCTCGGCCGCATTCACGCAGAGGGCCATCGGCACGGCCATCTCCTTGACCGCCGGGACTCCCGCCTCGACCCCCACTATCTCGCGGCCCTGGCCCTCGTGAAGCCAAAGTTGCTCGCTCACTGGGTCGAGGCGCTTCTTCACCTGCGTAGGCTGCGGCGTCCACGGGTCTGTCTCGCCCGTCCCCTCGAGGGCCTGTGCGTACTCCTCGAGCTCCTTGGCCGCTATCTGCTTCACCTCTCGGCGTGTCTGCGCCGCCTTTGCCTTCGCCAGCTTCTTCTTGGCAGCCTCGAGCTTCTCCTCGGGCGTCTTCTTGTGGTAGGCGATGCGTGTGTCGCACCTACGTGTAAGTGGCGTGCGCATTCGCTCCTGACCACTGGGCCCACGGCGGGCGCGGGCACTCCTCTGGATTCGCCTCGCCGCGCTGCAGGAGGTGAGGGGCCATGCCTGAAACCGAGCGCATGTTCTCCGTCGCCGTCACCGAGCCCATCAGCTTCAGGAACATCGAACGCCACCGAGCGCTCGCCGGGCCGAGACGAAGCTGGCCGGCCAGGAACAGGTCCTTCTCGTGCTCCGTCATCTCCTCTGCCTGCAGCATCTCCGCGATCTGCATTGCCATGTAGTCGTCCTGCTCCTCGTCCGTCGCGGAGGCCTCTGCGCCGAGCTTCTCCCAGGGACTGGTGCCCTCCGGGTCGCTGACCTCGTCCTCTGGCACACTGTGGAGGCGGCGCCTCCCCGGGCTCTCTGACGCCTCGCGCCTCTTGTTGATCGTCTTGCGCGAGCGAGCGGCGGGCGACGCCATCACTCTCGTCGAGAGACTGCCGTGGGGGGAAAGAGGCTAGCCTCGCTCGAGCCTGAGGGGCTACGGACCCGCTTGAGTCAAGCCTGCTGCCCCCAGTAGCGAGTCCCCTTGGAGCGCGATTATCTTCGACGGGCTCCCGGAGCTCCCAGGGGGAGAGAGAAGGAGGAGACTGCTCTAGGAGGCACGCGCTCGCCTCCGACTGCACCCTGCCCTCATCGCCCACCCTCAGGTCCTGAACCACTGGCTGGAAGCACTCCTCCGGCACGGACGCGCGGACCGAGTGGGACACCTCGAAGTGCCTCGCGTCGCCGAAGATGAGGCTGACCGAGCGGTGCCCCGATGGGTGCCTGAACAGAGGCCTAGACACCCGGGTCTCTCCCTCGTCGACCTCGAGCGCGCCCGCCCTGAGGTCGATCACGGCGCCCATCAACTCCAGCAGCCTCGCTGGAAGAAGCGGAGGGCACCGATGAGGAATGACGAGAAACTCCGCGAAGCCGTAGTTCGCGATCGAGATCGGCACCCATGCCTTGCCGATCGGCTCGGTCTTGCCGCCAATCCCGCTCGCCGTCTGGCCTGTCACTTCGCCCATCTCGTAGTGCACGTGGTAGCCCCTCTTCTGAAACGCCGTCACTAGTATCTCAAGATCCTCTCTGCCGATCAGCGCCTGGCCGGCCGCGGTGTCCACCAGGGCGTGCTCCATCATCGAGCGCAGCGAGATGTTCACCGGGCCCTGCTGGATGTCCATGATGATGCCGGTCCAGGCCTCCACGGCGCTGGCCTCGAAGAAGTCCAAGTGTCGCTCGAAGTCCGGGGGGTCACCGTCGTTCTGAAAGAAATGCGATCTCGGAGCTCCAGTCGTGTCCTTACCCTCGGCAGCTAGCCTACCTTGTTTGGATCGAAACGGCTTGCGACACGACTCGGCCCAGTGCCCCTTCTCACCACAGTTCGCGCACCGAGACCGCCGCTTCAAGTCTCCAGACGTGATGCGCTTGTACCCCGGGCGAGCAGCTCTCCTCTTGTCGAAGAAGTCTCGCTCGATCTTCTTGCTTGCCTTCATCTTGCGCGCCTCTGCCCAGGATCTCCGTTTGTCCTCCCCCAACTTCTCCTCGATCACGGCCGCGAGGACGACCATGAGCTCCTCCTCGGGGAGCTCCTGCTCCTCAAGGGCCGAGAGGAAGGTCTCCGCCTCGGCCTCTGGCAGCTCGAACGCGTCGTCCGGCGGATCCGAGAAGTAGGAGTCCACGTCGACTGGGACCTGCCTCGGGGGAGGAGGAGCATCTCCCACGTCAACCTCCACGTAGGACTTCGACCCCGTGCTCGTGCTAGTCATCGTCGGAATCACGCTCTTCTCCCGGGTGTCGAGCTTCAACAAGGCCTCGCGAATGGATCTGAAGTCAGTCAACCCTCCTGCCAGAGTACGCATGTTCATCGTATTCTGCGCCGTCAAGTTAGCTCCTTCTTCCAAATATCTCGCTAGAACGTTATCTGGCAGTGTGAGTCCATGTGTTTCTGCCTCGGCGATCTGGACGTCTCGACGGAGAACATAATCTGTGATCGACTCGCCCCTGTGGAGCGCGAAGTCAAATAGTGCTGCTGACTGCGCTTCCCTCTGTCTGTCACCGGGGCGCTCTCCGTTTAGAATGGCCAAGTGTTTGACAATCTTATCTACTCCATCGATATCGTCGAGCGTGCCCCTGATCGCTCTGAACTTCTGCTGGATGTCGACCGGGAAGCTCTCGAGCACCTTGCCTGCGCGTACCTCTGGTCGATGCCCTGTCCTGCCAGCCCAGCTCGTCAGGTTCAAGCGGTAGAGCTCAAGATGCTCGAACCCGAGCCAGAGCGGTGGTGGTCCATAGTCTCTGCTCGCTGGAACTTCCCACCTGCTGGCACCCCACGGCTCATTGGCCCAGGCTGCTGGCTCCTCGTGCCAGCGCCCGCCTGAGCCGCTGGCCCAGGCTTCTCCTCGAGCGCCCGCCGCGGTGCCATGAGTGTAGCCATCCCACGCTTCACTCCAGCTGCGGCTCCTCGATGCCCATGCTTCCTCGTCGCCGTCGTTGGCGACCCACGTCCAGCGCCGCCAGCCCGAGGGAGAGGGGTATCCGTGGGCCTCATTCGCCTGCCTCATGGACTCCGCCCAGGCGTCCTGGACGCCCTCCTCGGTCTGGATCGCCACACTACGATGCACTTCTTCCTGCTGCTGTGCTGTGCCTCGCGTCGCCATGAATGTCCCTCCCGTAGGAATCCCCTCGTCTCTTTCGCCACCAGCTCCGCTTACCACTGTCTCACCATCGCAGGGCATGCTGGGGTCCGGGGTCGACGAGACGGGGGCCTCTTTTGGGGCACATGAGCGCTACAGCACGCAAGCGTCAGAGCCAAAGCGGCTATGCACGGGCCGAGCAAGAGAGGCGGAGGTGCGAAGAGGAAAGACAGGGGGCCCATCCAAGTCGCACTTAGGGGTAGGGGGGACACAAGCCGACGGTCATCTGGCAGGCCATGCTGGACTCCTGGCTGCTTACGAGGTCAAGGAGGAGCTGGAGACTATGGGCTCGAGGATCGTCTCGAGCGCGCCCTACAGCCCGACGCAGAACGCCACCTGCGAGAGGCGCGGCCAGACCTGGAAGGCGCACGCGCGCTCCCTCATTTCGGAGTTCTTCATCACCTTCAAGATGGCGGACCAGATCAAGTGGCTCACGGCGGCGATCAACTACGCCGTGAACTCGGCGGTGGGCCCGTCTGGGTACTCACCTTCCCAGTAGATACTTGGTCGCGGCATCAAGCTTCCCCACCAGCTCCTCAGCCAGCACAACAACCTCAGGCTACACCAGCGGATGTTGGACGACCGGGCGCCGAGCTTCAGGCAGCGCGTGGGGTTGCTCAGCGCGGCGAAGCGTTCGGTGGCAGCGCTGGAGGCGAATCGCAAGTTCAGCGAGGCGTTCCTCGCCAAGAGCAGGTCTTCGACGATGATGCCAGCATCATCAACCTACCAGGTCAGCAACCAGGTCTACTACTTGGAGGGGGCTTGGCAAGGCCCGGGCGAAGAAGCTGGTCGACTCGAAAGACATCTTCGAGCGCGCGGAGGACCCGGACGGATCCGCCGCTACCAGACCAGCCTGGTGGACACCGCCCGGCTCGGGCGATCAGGCTCTCATGGAGGTCGACGACGAGACGCCGCAGATCGTGGAGCCCCCGCCGAGCGACCTTGGCCACGGCCAGACCTATCTGGACATGACCGTCGACGAGCACGCCATGGCGCCCATGGACACCGAGCAGCACCTCGATGCTGGAGGACTCCCTCACGCTGAGGAGGTCCCATACGTTCCACCTGCTTGTGGAAAGTGCCGCAAGATAAGAAACTGACAGGAGAAGATGGCAAAGAAGAGTCCTAAACCGTTCCCGCAACTTATGCTAGAAGGACCTGCTTACCCTCAAGAGCCTCCCGAACAGGTACCTGCGCTACCAGAACAGCCACCAGGGCCGCGAGTACATATCGAAGCCGAGACTCCAGAACTACACCTCGAAACATCCCAAGACGCTCCACATCATCAATATCATGTTCCTGATCCTGCCGAACCTCCCACTCCCTTCCACTACGAGAACGAGGAGACGCCCCAGGTGCAGGAGATGGAGGACACTGTTGTGGACGAGGGCAACCAGGAGCAGGAGGACGTTGCGCACCAGGAGTTCGAGTGCCATGATGCCGAGGAGGAGTTCGAGTACAGCGGCGATGAGGAAGAATTCCAGGACGTTGAGGAGCAAGAGGATGCGAAACAACCAGAGGAAGCGAGAGCGTCGAGTTCGGGAGGAGCGGCTACAAGTTCTGGAGGAAAAGCGTCGAATTCGGCCCCTACATTTTACGCTGCGCCGTTCAATGCTCAAGAACAAGAAGGCGACCTACAATCATCTCGATGACGTTCCGTTCACGATCAAGCAGACTTTGGGGCAGAGAAGAAGGAAGAGCGAGGTCGCGCACGGAAACATAACTTCGAGAGGAAGCCCCGGACAACCTGAAGACAAACTTGCGCGACACACCCTAGTTCTAGAAGTCGAAAGAGTTCGAGGATGCTACTTGACGAGGGCTGCGAGATCCAAGGAAGTGAACCTCAACGCCGTTTCGGGCGAGGACATCCGGGAGCTCATGGTATCCATGGAGGACGAGCGGGACAAGTGGATGGCGTTCGGCGCAGCACGGAGGTGCCCGGACCACGAGCTCAAGCAGCATCTCGCCAACGACGCCAAGGTCGTCGGCACGCGCTGGGTGGTCACGCTGAAGCAGACGAAGAAGTCAAAGTACAAGTCACGACTTGTGGTTCAAGGTTGTCAAGAGCGCTCCGCCTGTCAAGAGCGCTCCGCCTACATCAGGAGCGATGCACCTACTGGCTCCGTGGACGCTCTCATGGTGACGCTGGGATTCATGGCGCAGAAGGGCTGGGCCGGGTGCTCCTACGACGCGAAGTCGGCCTACTTTCAGGCCGAAGGCATCGACAGACTGCTGCTCATCAGGATGCCGAAGCGCCACCCCACGGACCCAGGCAAGGCATTCTACGCGCAGGGCTCGATCTACGGCACCAGAGATGCAGGGCGAGCCGGGTATGAGCACTTAAGGAGCTACCTCGATAAGAAGGTTATCTACGCATCCAAGCTGGAGCGTGGAGTGTATCGTTTCTATCCCCAACTGGGAGCTCCAGATGATTCACAGCCACGCTGACGACCTGCTCGTCGCCAGAAGGATCGTAAGCCCCGAGGTTGACAAGATCCTCAACGAGATGGCGGGGTATCTACACCTGGAGAGACGCGACGGGGAGTTTGAGTACTGCGGAGTACACATCAGGGACAGCGTGAACAGCATCCACGTCACGCAGGCGAAGGCCATCAAGACCGTGGAGTACATCCCGATCAGCCCGGACGGGAAGAAGCCTCCAGAAGACCAGGCGACCATGAAGGAGTTGAACATGTTCCGCAGCACGAACGGCCAGTTGCAGTGTCTAGCTCATCGTTCGAGA